AGAGAGAGAGAGAGAGAGAGAGAGAGAGAGAGAGAGAGAGAGCGGAAAGTCGATTTTGAATCTCTGTCTGCTTGACGCCGTGATCTGGCCATGGCGATGGCAACGTGTTCAACCACAGGCGTCCGCGTGGCAAGCAGGTGGGCGGCGTTCTCCGCTGACGCAGAGAAGCCACTCCGGACGGTCACACGTGTTTCGGGTGTCGAGGCGGTTGGCATAAATACGAGAGCGCCACGTGTCATCACCCGGGGACGCCTGGAGACTGGCGGCATTCCACCACGGAAATGTCCAAGCTGGTTAAGAGAGGCACAGTGGATCGGTCCTCTAGCCTGGAGTGTGAGCGAGAAGGGAAGGACTTGGCCAATGCGAGCTCCGACTTTGTCCAGCTCGAAGATGACGTGGCGTTTTGGTGATTTGTCATGGGAGGAAGACGGTGAATCTTCGTCGCAGGACGTCTTTTTCGTCGCAGCGGGCCCCAAGAGGACGAGAGGGGGGGACTCTCTTTCCCCCGTTATACGAGGACCAGCTATGGCGGCCGGAGCTTTTGGTTCCCATGCAAACAAGCCTTCCTCAAAGGTTACGGCAGCAGCTATGGCGACAGAGACGCCGGCGGTATCAGGCCTTGACGAGCAAAATGCTGACGTGGCTAACGAASAGYCCTCGTTTCAGTGGAGCCGYCATTGGTATGGYGTGGCGGTGGAAGCTCAKCTTGACAGAAGGCAGCCKCATGSCATCACCGTCCTGGGCCGTCGATTCGTCTTGTGGTGGGACAGRTCCGCCCAGGAACAGGATSCAACGRTCRGAGTGGGCAGAGAGGAGAYGGAGSSGGGSAATGRYGGCGGCGCYGGCGCTTTGAGCAAAGCAGATTACGAGGATGTGATCCGGGGTGGAATGTGGCGAGCTTTCCTGGACCAGTGTCCTCATCGACTGGCTCCGCTCTCAGAAGGCAGAATCGACGAGGAGGGGAGGCTCCAGTGCTCGTACCATGGATGGTCCTTCGGCGGGGATGGYGGRTGCAAGAACATWCCRCAAGACAGGCCGGARCRGCRKGGSMGCACGTCTCCCCGTGCATGCACAACTGCTGTTCCGACGGGCGTTGTGAACGGGGTGGTTTTCCTGTGGCCAGATGAGAGTGCAGAGGGTGTAGAGCTGGCCTCCAAGACCCCTCTTCCTGTTGATCCTGCGGTTCACATGCCGGGACTGCTCAGAAGAGAGCGATACGTGAGGGAGGTACCGTACGGCTACGAGATCCTCGTTGAGAATCTCTTCGATCCCAGCCACTTGTCCTTCGCCCATCACGCCCAAGGTACGATGATGTACAGGCAAAAGGGGGCGCCTTTGGAACTAGAAGCGTCCTCGAAGGGTCGTGAGGGTTTCGTTGGGCAGGGTTGGGATACCACACTTCGCCCTGGCATGTTCTACGTGGAGTTCCAAGCTGCCAGTAGGGTGACACACCGGAGGGAATGGAACATCGGGGGCAGAGATGTGACCGCCATGAGCACGTTTTATGTCACGCCCAGTGAGCCGGGACGTTCTCTTCTGATCATTGGAGACTCGTTCACAGATGTCCCAGACACCAAGGTGTCAGTAGGATCACTGATGCGCAAACTGCGTCAAGCTATCCGCACGAAGATGAACGCTTTCCATTTGTTCCTCAATGCCTTCCTAGACGGCGATTCATACTTGCTGCACGTGGCCGAAAAGAACCTCAACAGGATGAAGATGCAGCGCAACAAAGAGTGGAACGAAGCGTACTACCTTCCCACCGCTTCGGATCGCTGGGCCATTGCCTTCAGGCAGTGGTTGCACAAATACGCTGGCGGTGGTGTAAAATGGGCAAATGGGGCCACTTCTCCCGCTCCTAGGACCGCCGGTGCTACCCGGTCGCCGGATAAAGATGTGGGTAAGATTATGGATGAGGCTGCGTTTACCGTTTTGTCTCCTCGGGAGGCCCTGGACCGGTACCATCAGCACACGGCCAAATGCCAAGCCTGCTTGAGGATGCTCAACTTCTACAGAACCCTACAGAAGGCCCTTTGTATCGCCTGCGTCCTGTTGGTCTCTATCGCCGCATGCCTTTCGGGCCAGACGGCGGCCCCCATCGTGGCTAGCAGTGGGGCGAATGGCCCTATGGCTGCTACAGCTGCAGCTGTGTCTTCGTCAGGAGGGAAACTCCTGGGGGTATCCCTCCCCCTTGTCATTCGGGTTGTGCTGGCCATCCTTTCCGTTGGGGCAGCTATTGGGGCCCTCAAGCTGGAGGACTATATTCAGAATTTCATCTACAAGGGGTACAACCACGCCCTGGTTCCCTAGGTACCGCTTTGGTGGAGAGAGTTCTGGTGTGCTGTGTTCATTTCATTTTATTGTCCATACAGATAGAGGTCCGCGGGGTGAATAGATGATGAATGTCAATCTCACATGCCCCTTTGTGGTCTCTTCACTGAGCATTGGATAAATGCATGTCACCTGTTGTTTCTTGCGGATCTTCCCGCAGCACTGAGG